TTTATTTAAATTCATTGGCTGCCCATCTCCAGTGGACTCTGGGTGGCACACAAAACTAAAAGAGACAAAAAAACAACAACTAAAAATATTAAATCAACAGACAGCCTGGACTAACATGCTGTAGTAACAAAATCCACAAAACAAAACAAGGACCATTAAACAAATAACAAACATCAACCCCAGGCCTGGGATCAAAGCCAGGTTTTCAAAGCTTTCCAAAACCCTAGGAGAGAGGGTGCCATCTCTGGGGAGATGCAGTTATGCAAAATAGTTTGTTTTAATAGGAGTAAAAATATACTTCGTTTATAAAATAATGAGTATGAATTAAATATTTTTAATACTTCAAACAAAGAAAAATGCCAGCCTTTAGCATTATCTTTATTTCCAAAGATGCTTCTCTGCCTGAAATGGTGTTTTCTTAGAGAACAAATGGGTAACTGCAGTTTTCCTGTGCCCACCTAGCCAGAAAAATGACAAAAGATAAGTTGGAGTAGTAGGGAGCAGATATGGAATGGATGTTCCCTTTTGCAAGAGCATTCAAAACCACAGCAGCCATTTTGCAAGACTACTCATAACCACAAGTTTCAGAATTCCAAGCCATGAAAACTTGGGAATCCCAGGAATATATTGACTTATTTTTCCTTTGAATAGTGTATTCCAAAATCTCTAACAATGGATGATGCTCAGTGCAATTCTGTTTATGAATCCAAGCTTTCAGATCATCAAGTAAGGTAATATTTGAGTTTAATTATTAAACTAGATAAAATCAAAACAGAAAAATCTGCCAATTCAACTGACTGTGAAGAACTTCTTCAGAAACAGTTTCAGAGCTTTATTTGTACTCAGAAAAAAAAAATGTGTATTCTTGAGTCCAAAATATACAAAATATAGAGTTATTGTTAGATCAGAAAATTTATGAAATTATCACTTGTTTTTATTTTGCTAGCACAGGTCACAATTTATATTGCTGACCACTGTGACCATGTAGCATATCTAATTTAGTGGAAATATTTCAAAGTCTGGTTCTTATTTTCTCTACATTGTTGCATGTGGGTATGTTTACATTATATGGTATGCTGTTAACATAATATCTGTGTACTATGACTCAAAGCAGCTTACAGTACTACCTAAATTATGCATCTTTATTCTGTTCCTTTTTTAAGGTGTAACTTGAAACACAATTCATCATGCAATCAAAATTTGTTTTCTATTTTTTAAATTTTTATATTAATGAATATTCACTCTTAGTAACTGTCCTGTCCTTTTCCTTTTTCTTTCAGACCTACTGAGCAATATTTGATCACTCCTCATATCGTAGAAAGTGATGGGGGGAAAAAAGTGAACTTGCTTGTATGTGACATGGATGAGCCTTTTAAGGAGATATCTGTACTATCAAAAGAAGTTGCAGCAGATCAAATAAACATTGAGATATTAGATCCTAAACAAATGCCAAAACCAAATGAAATAAATAAAGTGGAAACAGAATTTGTCACAAATACATTTTCAGAAGGTATACTGTATTAATTTTTATACAGTGGAGAAGGGTGTCATCCAATATATTGTGCCTTCCAAATACATGATGGATGGATGGATGGATGGATGGATGGATGGATGGATGGATGGATGGATGGATGGATGGATGGATGGATCCTTCCTAATTCACCCCAAATTATTATCAGACTCCTCAAATGAGATTTTCTGAGAGAGGCTGTGACAATTGAAAAATAGAATTAAAGTTCTCAGTACTCCAAAAGTCAACCATCAGATGATGATAGGGAAGAAAGCACAGACCTCATCTCCAGATCTCAAAACAAAGACAATGCATGTAGTCCTCGCTTAATGCCCACAATTAAGACCAGAATTTAGGTTGCTAAGCGATGCGGTCATTAAGCAAATTATCACGTCACTGGACCTGATGTTACAACCTTTTTGTGGTGTCATTAAGCAAATCATGCGGTCATTAAGTGAATCATGCCGTTCCCTATTGATTTTGCTTGCCAGAAGCTTGCTGGGAAGGTCACAAATGGCGATCATGACCCTGGGATGCTGCAACCATTGTAAGTGCGAGTGATTGCCATGCACCCAGATTATGATCACGTGACCATGGGGGCGTTGCAACAGTTGTAACTTTGGGCACCAGTCCTAAATCACATTTTTTAGGACTGTTGTAACTTCAAATTGTCGCTAAATGTACAGTTGTTAAGCAAGGACTACCTGTAATGAAAGATATCCAACATTTAGAATTTTTTCTGTCAGCTAGATTCAGAAGCCAAAAACATAGGAACGTTTGAGAGAAAGAAAATAAAAACAGGCCTTGAAATATCAGTGTAAAAAATTGTGGCAGTTTTAGGAATTGACTCATTAAACTTAAC